TCATTTTTATGCCGTAAAATAAGTGATGCTTTTGCCAAGTAGTGGCATTCCTTATTTTGGCCTGATGAGCTCCTCCCTGGATTTGATATTCAATGCAAACACAGTGTCACCTCTGTGGGCTGGCAGATAATTTTCAATTCATCTGCCACGGGCAAGTCATCCATGACAACATTTGACAAAGAAGTTCTTGTCCCTCATGTGGTTCTGTTTTCATAACCTGTTCTAGAGATCTTTGAAAAAGATCAGGTTCCATAAACGAACTGCTCAAGAGGAGAGTAGCTTACTTTCATATCCATATTAACCTGGATTTGCTGGTTCTATCTCTACCATTACATGCCCTTTTATGGTCCAAACATGGGTATTTGATAAAATTGCTGCAAAATGCCAACAGAGGCATTTTCCAAAGAATTAAGATGTTAGGAGCATTCAATAAAATTGGAAAGGGCTATGGTTAATCCCTAGTGCCGCGTAACATGGTGAGCTCCCGTTACTTGTCCCAGCTTCTGCCAGCCTAACAGTTCAAAAGCACATAAAAAATGCAAGTAGAAAAATAGAGACCACCTTTGGTGGGAAGGTAACAGTGTTCCATGCGCCTTTGGCATTTATTCATGCCAGCCACATGACCACAGAGATGTCTTCGGACAGTGCTGGCTCTTCAGCTTTGAAACAGAGATGAGCACCGCCCCCTAGAGTTGGGAACGACTAGCACATATGTGCAAGGGGAACCTTTACCTTATGGTTAATGAAGTCTGCAACCCCTTGTCACCATCTAGTGAAAAAATATCATTAATTCTTCTCAAGGGCACCATTTATTTATTGGTTCGATTTATATGCTGCCCTTTTCCGGAGACTCAGGCTGGCTTACAATAATCATCACCATGCATCCATGTCAGAACACTGTACATTATTTCATTGTCTTTGATATGTGTACTTTTTTTGTCCAGTTTATTTTAAGGTGGTTGTTGTTGTTGGCTTTAGATTCACTATGAGAAAAAGTAAAAAGACTAATTGTTTAAATACTGAGAGAGAAGAAATAAAGCAAGTTGAAGATATTATCATGATAGCCATTTTGCTCTTTCTATTTAAGTCAGCTTTCTTTATTACAATGTACTTCTCCAGCTGAAGAATCAGTAGGGAGAGGCATTATGCTTTCCAAGCAGCTAAAATGCATTTCTCAAGATTGCCTGATCGGTGACCAATCTTTTGCTTTATGTCATAGTAAAAATATGGCCATGCAATCAGCTGGTTTGGATGTTCAGTTGACCAGATCTTTTGATAGTGGATCTTGCAATAGTGGATAGATTTCATTCTTCAGATTCATTTCTGCATCCCTCCTATTCCCCACGATTGTTTTATTAGTGAATATTATTTGTTAGGGTTTATTATATAAAAAATACAGTGATGTCCATGACTAATAAGATGTGTGTACCTGTGTGACTTTGTACATTAAAATCAACGAAAGAACATCCTTGCTCCTTTCATGGTGCCACTAAAGAACCTTAACAATGTAGATTCTGCTACATGGCTGTTTCCTTTTTTTGCACATTTATCTGTACTTATCCAACACCTTGAGGAAACAGACTTCCCTGTTGCAGTTCAAGGCCAGCAGGAGATAACTAGCTTCCTAATTTTATTTCTTTCTTTTACAAACATTGCAGATAGCCTTTAGCACTGTATTCTTGAAAGCAAGTGAGAGCTATTTTTCACTCTTGCTGAAATATTAAGCTCATACCTTCCCTTTCTTGTTGCCCAGGAAATGGCCACTCAAATGGATTTTTGAGAGGTTATAGTACACAAAAGTATAGGGGATGAGTGACTCACACAGATTTCCTTGCCATTTCATCTTGGAAGGTTTAGCTCTAGACTCAGTAGGTACATACAGATATACAGTAGAGGACTTGACATCTTTACCATTTAGAAGTCTGATTGTGAGATGGCGGCTATAAAAACGTGAAAGATAAAACGAATAGTAGGAATTCAGAGGAGTTTCCGAATGCTTTTAATGTCTCAATCTCTTACTAGCATATAAACTAACTTTGTGTCGTGTTTGCAGTATGGTGATGTAAAATAGCATCCCCATCAACACTGACAGGCAAGCTACTATATATAAACAGGGAGCAAACCCCACTCCCTTCTAGCACTAAAGATGTTGCCTAGTCAGGTAACAAAATGTCTGTTAGCAAGTAACTAAGCTCAGAGAACACTCCAGAGTTATCTCTTTCTTGTACTTTCTGAAAGGGGACAATCAGACTGAATCTCAAATGATTTCAAACAACCTTACATAGCATAGTGGTTAAGGTGCGTGAAACTAGGCTGAAGTTGGCATAACCTAAATATGAGGCAGGCATGTAAGCAGTAAGGAGACAAAACCAGAAATCTTGTCTAAAAGATCCCTTTCGGGTCGTAGATAAGAAGAAAAGAAGTTAAGAAACCAAGAAAAAATGTCTCCTGAACCAGACAAAGGAAGCTGGGTCTGAGCACATAGAAAACCCTGAATCCTAGCTAATGAGCAAGAGATTGGGTTAAAGGAGATCTGAAACTCATTTACTCCTTGAGTCTATTTTTCCCCTTTGGATCCAACTTACCTTAGGGATAGGCATATTATTTGTGTGGTACTTACTAAGCTGTTCTATCCAAGGATCTACCTACCTACCTACCTTCCTCCCTCCCTCTCTTCCTGCTTTGAACTCCAGAAAGAACAAAAATTAGCATTACTCCTATTTTATTTAATAGATAAAGGAGATAATCCATGAGATTTTTCAGTAGAGCCCCATTCCTGTGTCCATTTTGAGGATATTATTATTCTGGACTAAATCCTTTCCCTAAAGGAGCTAACAGTGAGGAACTTGAATTACAAAATAAGCAATGGTTTTAAAAATCTAAAAATATTTTGTTAGAGAAATATAAGGCAGAGGCTGTGTGAGAAATGCTAACAGCGAGAATAAATGGATTATAATTCCTGGCAAAAAGATTGGTATTTTTCTCCTACACCATCCACACTTTTAGCAGCATACATTTTAAAAAAGGTTTGTCTGAAATGCAGTGGTTATCATGAGAATTTAATTTGCATAGCCTAGATTTAAAACCATTACTGCAGAAGAGGAGAGAAAAAATATTTCCAACAATATCCAGGAACACAGGATAGAACAGTTTCTGCACTTTTTTTTTCGTTATTAGAACAGCAACATTATCTTCCAGAGCAAAAACTTACCAGTGTTATAAAATTACAAGATGAGAGGGCAAGCCTTAATTAGAATATTTGCAAGGCAGGGGTGCAAATATAGGTTTGTGCAGATAGGCTTTTTTTTTTTTTGGAGAAGATCACAAGTGTGTGGAAGGAAGAAGTGTGTGGAAGGTATCTTCGAGACCGCCTTCTATCACATAGCTCCCAAGGACCAGTAAGATCCCATAGAGTTGGTCTCCTCCAGGTCCCGTCAGCTAAACAATGCCGGCTGGCGGGCCCGTGGGGGAGGGCCTTCTCTGTGGCTGCCCCAGCTCTCTGGAACCAGTTACCTCCTGAGGTCCGGACCACCCCCACCCTATTGGCCTTCCGAAAAGCAGTGAAGACCTGGCTTTTCCGGCAGGCCTGGGGCCGTTGATCTCGCTGTTGCTATCTTGTGAGATCCGGCCATGAATGGTGTGAATGGGTTTTAATGTTTTAATTTTTAAAAGTTTTTATAATGGTTTTTTAAATGCATTGCAAGCTGCCCTGAGTCTTTGGAGAAAGGCGGCATATAAATTGAACTAATAAATAAAATAAATAATAAGAAAGAACAGATAGATACAGTACGTGATACAGAAGAATAGATACCAAAAATATATAAACAGTTAATCACAGATCCCCTAATAATAGCTGGATTTGTATAAAGCTTACAACACTTGTGACCCAGAATCAAAATACCATTTGGATATTTATTTTGGTCCTGCTTTGTAGGGTATATGGAAAAGCTTATAATTTGTGTAGACAGTAATTACAGACAGTCCTCTGTATTTTTTTAGATTATATTCCAAGAGGCAGAACATCAGTCCATTGGATTGTAAATCCAACCAAGTATAAAAAAATATGCTCAGTACATTTCTTACCTTATGTAAATGGCACATGTCTAATTCCAGACGTACTGTAATTCACAGTCACTACTCAAAGAAAAACATTGCAAAATAAACATAATGAGATCAGGAAACAGACAGGACTGGGTAATGTCCAAAATGGTGTACAATCAGCCTCCCAATGTGTGACAGTGCTGCCAAGTATACATTTGCAGCATGCCGTAAACTAACCCTTTCCCGCCTTCTGAGACTTTCTAGGTTGGCGTTGTGGACAGGTTTGTTGGTACCAGCAGAAGTTTGTAAGGCAAAAAGTTTGTAAGAAGAGGACTATCCGTGGGGCCTGTGAAATTAAAGAACGTACATCATAGCACCTAGTGGATTACTTTTGTCACATGATATTGTGATGCTCAGGTTCATATACTCAGAGGAATGTTGAATATGGCTTTGGAGGCTTTCTCGTGAGTTGTCTTGTGTGAATCTTCACAGTCTCCAATTCAAAATTCCTACGGCTGGCACTGCCATTTCCTTTCTCTCACAAGCATGCAAGGATCCACCTCCAACTACCATATCCCAGTGCAGAGCTTGGGATGCTGAAGAAAAAAGTGCTGAGGAAGGAACGACATATTGCTGGATTATATGAATGCTTTTGCAGCAAAAGAGCCCTAACCTCTGTAGTAAATTCAGCATCTTAATGTGTTCAATCCACTCATTGATAGTTGAGAAGAGGAATAACTGATGCACTCCTATACAAGCCAGATGACCACAGTGATTATTAAAAGTATGTGGGCAGCAAAGCAATAATAGTAATAATAAATTACCATAAAATGTACAAACTTGATGGAAATCACATTACAAACAGATATGCCCTTATAAAGAGGGTGTTTGTTGCTTTATAAGAGGAGAGTGGATTTGATTCTCCACTATTTACTCTTCATTTTCCCCTCTATCCTTAGGTTCAACTAATCCACTATAACCATGAGTTATATACAAATGTCACAGAAGCTGCAAAAAGTCCCAATGGCTTGGTGGTAGTTTCTATATTTATGAAAGTAAGTATAGTAAAATTTCATAAATGTTTAATTACATTCTGCTGGGTGATTTTAAGAAATTAAGAGCATTGGTGTATAAATCCAGGAAGTCTAACTACAGCCCTTTTCTACTTGGTACCCCAGATGCATTGATATTACAACTTCCAGACTCCCCCATCCAGCAAAGGAATTGTAATTCTGGGGACTATTTACAGGATGGGGAAGACAACTTTGAAGATTGCCTGCATTTAAAAACTGCTGGTTCTTTGGGGATAACATAATCATGCTTTAGGATGAAAAGGAATTATATCACTTTGAGAGAGACACAAACATTACACAAATCCATTTCCATCTATCTGCAAATAATGCAGTGATGTTTTATACTACTGTGTAATTGTGTTATTAATAATAATACTTCAGCAGATGCTCAGAAAGCATCACAGATCTTTTGGGGGGCTTTTTTTCTTATCCCATTCTTGTACTTTTGGGGTTCTTCCCCCCATAAATATTTCTAGAATAGACTGTATTTTGTTTGTTTGGGTTTTTTGCACAAAGGAGAGGAGTATTTCTCCCCAGTGAGCTATCCAATAGTCCCTGTACTAAATGATTTACAAACATTGAGGTAAAGGCAGAAATAATATTTGGAAATAATTTCTTTATGCATGTTCTTTTCTGGGATTTGTAGATTTGCGGTATCATTCACTTGGCACTAGAAAAATGGTCAGGAATAGTCAGAATTGTCAGAGACATGAAGGGAGAAGTGGAAGCAGAACTTCAGCCTGAAACACTGATGGAGTCCAATATTAGCAGTCCTCAGAATAGGTTGCCCAGCATATAGAGGGCTATCTCATATTTCCTAAATCAATGTCCATGCAGATGACAATATGTCACCTGTTATATTATTTAATAGGGGTGCATTTCAGAACAATCTCCTTCAAGAAGGCCTGTCACTCACTCCACCCCAATGAAGAAGAGTTGGGGCTAACAGTTGCTTCTGTACATGTGTGGTAGACACCCAGAGGTCACCATTTCTGGGTCAAATGACACAGCTTCTCCAGTCCACTCCAGGAGGTGCTTCAAAAGGGCTTTTTGTGCAAATTTTCATTCAAGTGTCACACCCTTCACAGATTTGGTACAACCCTATTTATTTATTTATTTATTTATTTATTTATTTATTTATTTATTTATTTATTTATTTATTTGTAGCAGGCATGAATCTGGACACCTTGTTTCATGCAAAGAGCTTAATCCTTTCTCTCCGACTGCATTTTTCAGTAACTGGCCAGTTTGCTTCTGGTGTGAGATCTTAGAATGGTATCGCTAAAACCGGCCAAAGGAGAGACATGGGGAGACATTATAAAAGTGACAGGTAGAAGAAAATCTAAGCTGATTCTCCCCTGAGCTGCTGCCATTTTTATCTATTACAGCCAGTTAAAATTTCAGACCTAATACAGTAATGGAACTAAAAGGTAGTTCGGCTTTCACATTGCAGCAGTTTGTTGGTGTTTTTTAAAAAAAAAAGAAAAGAAAAGAAACAAATGTAACTGGACAGAGAATAGAAGTCTACATAAGCCTTTGACTTCCCAAAATGACAGGCATGGTAGGAACAAAGATAATGCATTTGGCTGAAGGTAGTTGCTGCGTTTTGTATGATCATAAATCCTCATTGTCCAGGAGGATAACTGGTTGCTATAACCACTGAACCACATTCCTTATTTAAGGCTGGGGTTAGCAAGGATGGCCTACATGTCTCCATGCTCCAACCTTGATTATACTTTTTAACTTATTGGATGGGGTTAAAAATGCAGAGCACATTTTTTTTTTCTTCAACCAGCACTTAAAAGGGTCGTTTGCGATATGTCCAAGTGATGATCTGATATGCCCAGGATAAACGGAATACACACACACAAAAAAAAGCAAATCTGTATTTGTCCTTTTTCTTGAATATTTCAGAAGGATGTTTCTTCGCTTTACAAAAACTTTGTATCACAATAAGTAAGTGCCCCTGGTTTACAAGAGAAATTATTCCAATAAAAAGGACTCTTCATATTGTAGAAAGCTTAAGAGTTTATTGAGTCGTGATGGCGCAATGGTTAGAGTGCAGTACTGCAGGCTACTTCTGCTGACTGCCGGCTGACTGCAATTTGGCAGTTCGAATCTCGCCAGGCTCAAGGTTGACTCAGCCTTCCATCCTTCTGAGGTGGGTAAAATGAGGACCCAGATAGTTGGGGGCAATAGGCTGACTCTGTAAACCACTTAGAGAGGGGTGTAAAGCACTGTAAAGCAGTATATAGGTCTTATTGCTTTTGCTATTTCAAATCCTCCCCAGTATCCTGCTCTTTAGATAATAAAAGTAAAAGGGGCGAAAAGGAATAGAGAAAAACCAATGTAAATGGGAATTGCATTCTGAAGACTTCCTTGGTGCATTTTTGTTCAGAATTATTCCCAGACTACATCTTGTATTTTGTTGTCATGCAGTCCAAGCACAAGAGTCAACCTGACAAGTGCTAATTAATTCATGGTCAGGTTCCACTCTGTAACCTTCACACTGTTTTGCCTTGAACTATCACTGCCATGTATAAATGTAACCAAGCCTTGTTCTAAATGAAGGCAGAGAGCAGAGGACAAAGTATTTCAAAATGTTGCAGAAGAAACCACAAAAAAAAAACAGACTCACCCCAGATTCATACCTAAACTCAAAGCAAGAGGACAAGGGCTTAATTACCTTTCTTGAGTAGTATTTTAAGGTCATGCTGATCTTTCCTGCATATTGGATGTGGAAGAATTTGCTGCTCTTGACTGGAGTGCAGGTTGATGCCCAGACTTCCTTCTCCTTACTAAATGCTCCAGCTAAAAATGGTTTTGAAGCCACAGTTCATCCCACTGAAACTGCAGCATAGATGAGAATGCAGCATGCTGTGATTTGAGGCAGAAAGTGATACATCAAGCTGTGGTGATCACCAGAACAGACCAGGTTTTGCTCTGGATTTTGCCTAAATGAGTCTAGAGTTTACTATCCTACTCTATTTTTTTCCCTACAAAATTGAAGCCAAGAGTTGTAGTCGTTCATGACCAGCCTTGCCTAAATGGATTGAAAGGCATTCTTCATCTCCGGCATAACCATGTCAGTTTATGCCTATTTTCCAACATTATTAGTTAAATTTTCAGTTAAAACCAAAAACTAGGATGGCAAGAAGCTGATGCAACTCATGTTCAGAGTATTCAGAATACAGCTCCCTTTCCTTTCTGTTTTCTGTTTTCCATTCCTGCACTAATACAAAGTTGAACTGCCATTACTCATTTCATCAGATTGCAGTACATCCACATTTTTGCTAATTCTGTAGTTGTCCCTTGAGTCTCTTCCTCCCCCACCCTGATAAATAGACATTTTCCAAAAATAAGAAGTTCATAGTTATTACTTTTGTTTTGACAATGAATTCTTTCCACCACAGGTTTCTGAATCATCAAATCCATTTTTAAATCGTATGCTTAACAGAGACACCATAACAAGAATAACGTATAAAAGTAAGTTTCTTTTTGACTCCACGTCAGTGAATAATGGTACAATCTTTCAATATGTATATTTCAGATTGAAAGGAATTTCAAAAGCGAAAGATGATAAAAGCATCTCTCAGAATTGCTGTATATGCTTTATTCTATGAGGCAATTAATCACAGACTTTTTAACAAAAGAAATTCAAGCATCTTCCAATTGTTTTGTGGTAGTGGAGTGGAATTAATGAAACATATTTTTTCTTAAATATCTGAATATTTATAAGGATTTTCCATCTAAGCATTAGGAAGCAGTAATAGTTAAAACATGATTAAAGCATAGTAAAATATGCCATAATGAAAAAATAATCGCTGAGGTATTTTAAAAAATCTGTGAGATACATAAAGCACAAGTAATCCATTTACTCAGTTCTTATTTAGGCTATAACTTGTGGCAAACTTATAATTGCTCTGAGTGTTTTCAACCATTCTGTATTATACAGTTCATGTAAACTGAGATGCCAAATGCAACTGCTGACATTTCCTGAGATGTAAATGTCACCATTATCCTTTGTCAGTCAGGACCATGGACTCTTGCGTTCCATGTTCCATTAGCTGCATAAATTCCTTCTTCTACTGGGGTTTGCTAGCTATAGTTCATTTTAATACCCAAATTGGCAATTTATGGCTGTTGTTTTTCCTTGTGCCATTATTTCATATCAAGTTTGTAGGATGCTGGAATTGAGCTCATTCCTTCTTCGGCCATGGTTTGTAGTTTAGTTTATCCTTAGTTCAAGTTGGAACTATTGACCAAGATATAGAGGGGGGGGGACCTATTTGCCTCTGGCTGTGAGGCAGGGGCTTCTCTTACTGATCTTACACAGTGGGGCAGAAAGAGTTGTATTTTCATACACTACACAACTGATACCTGCTAGCTGATGCTGTAGAGTTTAATGTCAGAATAAAAACATGTAAAATCAGTCCATGGTTAAATAGTACAAACCTAATCATTATGAACAAGGGATTTATTCTTTTCCTGGCAAACTGATAGAGAGCTAAAATAGATGGTCGTTGGAAGCAAAATAAAAAAAAAATGCCATCGGAAAGGAGAAACAACAGGGGTTGAAATCAAGCATGGGCTCCCACATTCTGTTTAAGAGCTCCCCTAAATTACATTGCTGAAATTTAGTGACAAAATCATAATGTTTATGTGAAAGGCCTACTTAGGGAAATAGATTACCAACAAGAAAAATATTGTCATCTTCCCTGGAAGCTTTTATTACACAAAAAAAGTTTTACAAAGGAGGCAGGGAAGTTACCAAGTTCATCAGTTCACGCAGAACCTCTTTTTTAAACAAGTTCATTGATGGAAAAGTGAAATTGGAGCTGGCTTTCCTAACAGTGGTGGGAGGAGTAAAGCAGCGGGGGAATCCACCAATCTGGAGAGAACGCCAGACTGTCGTCATGATCACTGGTGGGATTCAAATAATTTAACAATCGGTTCTCTGCCCTAATGACCGGCTGGGTGGGCGTGGTCATGATGGGCGTAGCCAGGGAGTGTGACAGGTAGCACTCGGCCTCCTGCCCCACCCCAACACTGGGAGCAAAAATGGGGCGCCCCATTTTTGCTTCTAGTAGGCTTCCCTGCAGCCTCCTGGGAACGAAAACGGGCCACAGGGGGACTCTTGGAAGGGGCGAGGCCAGACAGCAATTTAACTACCAGTTTGCCCAAACCATTCCAAAATGGCTGAATCCCACCTCTGATCAAGCAGGGAAGCAATTGAACTGTGGAAATGGCTTTTTTAAGCCAGCTCTGTGTTTGATTGGTTTATGAACAGCAATCAAGTAGCGTAAAACTATGGTGCAGAAAACATAAAAGAATGTATAAAATGAAAACATAAAAGAATGTATAAATGCATAAATGTCTAAAACTACAAAGGATAGTGGCCATCTACTTAATAACTGTGTGATTTGCTTAATGACCGATACACCGGGTCACATGGGTGCTTTGACTTATGACCACAATGACTTGGATTTCTGGTCCCAATTGTAGTCATAAGTTGAGGACTTCCTGTATAAGCATTTTCAAGGCAAAAAGGCAATGCAGAAAGTGTTATGGAAAATAATTTTGCAACTGTCATGGATGATAGATTATAGCTTCATTGCAGGGGAAATTTAGTTTTGCTTCATGTATCAAGAGAAATTCTGTATTGCTCTTAAGCATCTGTCTTTCAAAAACTCATATTTAGAAACCTCATTTATACAGCTATTGCTTAGCTTCAGCTCTGAGAAAATCAAGGACTATCAATTACTTACTTGCTTTTAGAATAAATTGGGTGATACAATAAGAGTTGTACACTAATTGAAGAATAAGTCTAAAAGCATCACATTCACAAGAGTATGAATCAGACTAACAGTCAGACACGCTTGTGGAATTTCAACATTGGATTTTTAAATTGAGTTTTCATTGTTTTAATAAGGATTCCAATTCAAACAATCCCCTGGACACACACAGACATACACAAAGGTATTCTCAATTATATGAAGGTATTGAAATGACTACAAGTCATTGGAACTCCATCAACAGTTTTAAGGGATATTTGGTTTTATATTTGATTTTTTTAAAACTCAAGAATTGACAGACTAATTACTATCTTTTTTTATGCAACTGAGATGCATTTCTAGAAAAACCCCAAACCCAAGTTTTCTTCTACAAATGTAAAACAGTCTGTAGTTTACAGCCTTGATAGAAATATGAATGCATTTTCCAATTTTCAGTAAAATAAATGGTTCTAATTACTGTATAATAGAATTGCTTATATTTCCATAGATCTTTAATCTTATGAATCAAAGTTTATCATGCCAGGGAGGAATCTCACACAGTACTCCAGATATTTTGGCTTAAAGTAAAAACGTTTAGTTGCATACACTTTGGTGTGAACTAAAGTATTACATTATTTTAGGCATGTAAATTGTTCTTATCTGTACCTTCTGCATTAATGTTTCATTCGCCAACTCAAAATTAGTAGCTCAAATATGTTTTAAACCTTGTACTTCAAAAACAAATGTTCAGAAATGGAGATTGGAGATAAAGCACATTTAAAATATTTGCTATGAGAGGTATACAGTTTTCATGCAGAACTTTAGAAATATTATTGGACAGAATAGAATGACAACTCAAAATATGCAATTATTTCTGACCAGAAGTATTGGGTTTGTCCGAACACACACATCTTCAGTTTTTAAAATCTTTATTTTGGTAATGGAATTTGATTATTGAACTCTGCCACCATAGGCTGAATGTCATCTGGTTGTAGCATTTATACAGTATATGCAATATTGTGCAAAGAAATGGCAAGAGAAGATGCATGAGGAATATTATAGATGGCAACTTTATGACTGTTTTAAAAATATAGGTACATATGAATCTCATCTTTTATGAACCTCCATGCAATTCTTTCCTGTCCTGTTCCACTAAACTCTACAGGAGGCTATATAAAACCAATAAACTATGTATATTACAAATGCTCACCAACTCAGAAATACTCCTAAGGCAGAAATGGTTCAAACCAACAGTGCAATCTGCTGATAGGAATTGTGCTTAGAGCCCAGCACTGTTGCATTTATAAGGAAGATGTATTGTGTACTGCAAGACGCATTGAGAAGATATATTCATAGTACTAAGTGACTTGCAGTAAGTTATTAAGTAGAGATACAATGAAGAAGGATGACAAAGGCACCCACTGTTGTCCTGCTAACTGGTGGCTATCAAGGATGTTTCTGTTTATACATGGACCAGTCTAATAAAACAAATGGAAATTGCTCTGTGGTCCCAGCTCTCTGAAGCTATTACCTTGCTGTCAGATGTTTCCTTCTGTTAGCTCTGCAAGGCAGTCCAGGCAAGAAATACCATCAGGAATAATCATTATCCTTAGGTCCTGTGCAAAGCTCATTGATCAGCAAGTGATTTCCAGTGTTTCAATCATTCAGGGCATCTTCAGCATCGTCCCAAGGGACATTAATCATCTTAAAATTTTCCATAAGAGTTTGGAGCCAAGATTTCTGAGATCTGCATCATTTCCTCTTTGGAGGTATACAACATAGTGCAATTTTTGGATGCCAGTCTTGGGCATATGTAAAGTAATAATAACACTTAGACTTATATACCCCTTCATAGTGCTTTATAGCCCATGCTAAGTGGTTTACAGAGTCAGCATATTGCCCCCAACAATCTGGGTCCTCATTTTACCCACCTTGGAAGGATGAAAGACTGAGTCAAATTTGAGCCTGGTGAGATTCGATCTCCCAAACTGCTGGCAGCTGGCAGTCAGCAGAAGTATCCTGCAGTACTGCACTCTAACCACTGCACCACTGCGGCTCTTAGCTTAGATATAGCCAACAAGCCACATAACGACAGTCAGGAGTATTAGCTGTATATTGCAAGGTAATAAGATTAGACCTACTGACAGACCAAATAGTAAGGACCACTGATTACCCCATGGATGCTCAACCTTGGCAACTTTAAGACTCCCAGAATCTTGCAAGACTTAAAAGTATTTCACCTCTTCTTTCCTTTTACTCTCTGGAAGACCAGGGAGGGTCTCTTCTAAAACATTTCCCTCACCATTCCACCTTCTATGAGCAGAGACATCTCTTACATGCTGGTTGTCCAGTCTGCTGGACTCCTTCCTGTTTCCCCAGGTTTTTCCTGCATATCATTATGGAAAACAATGCATCCTTATTTATATCTTGCCAACTTCAAATCAGACCATCTTCTTTTTATGAAGGAATCACCATTTGTATTCTTAGAGAGATGTGGATGTTTTGGTTTAATCAGCTTATTTGCCACCGAGCTGTCTCGATAGCTGGTTAGCTCCAACAGGGGGTTTCATTTGTCCATCATCACTGTCACTACAACTCGGAAAAGTTGTCGTTGTTTAAAAAAAACAATGTTTATTTATTTTTCATTTATTTATTTATTTGTTTGTTTGTTTGTTTGTTTGTTTGTTTATTTGTTTATTTATTAGTTTGATT